TATATATATATAATTTCAATTTTGATCACCGGTGTCTACAATGTAATGATCAGGCTCGTTGTTGTTGCACGCAAAAGAATTGAGCTCGATTCGCATCTTGGGAGGAAGATCTCATCGAGCATCTCTGTTTTTCTGCTTTGTATGGTCTGTGCCAGCAAGGCTTAGGGACGTCAGATAATTACAGTTAATCAGTTACTGATCTTCTTCTTTTATCTTTCTATCCCCTTCCCTCTCCGTCCCTTCCCGTTCGCCCAATTAATCGGGCTTTCATGGTTTTTGTTGTTGTTTTGTTTTTCAAAATAGTCACGTTTCTCACTTTGTAGAAAACGAAGGATACTCTTTCTGTTTGTTATAAAAGCTCATTCTATTTTATCTGTAAGTACATTTTAAATCTGTACTTTTAAAATGTGTCTAGACTCTATGGGGTGTGTGTGGATGTGTGTGTGTGTGTGTGGAGGGGGGGAGGGGAGTGGGGGAATTTACAAATGTGCTGTTTTTCAGTAATAATATGCTATGTCTCAATGACTGCTCAATTGTGAACGATTTGCTGAGCGGTTTTGTGTCTGCCTTTCTGCTATGTTGTTCCTCAAGTAACGCTGTGTTTTTAAAAAAAGCTTTCTACAATCTGTTAATAACGGTTCATGTGTTGAGTGTTTATGCATTTTCCATGTTTTGCTGCAACAGTGTGTATTATCTCTACGATTTGAAATTGTTTTCCTATATTTTTTGAAAAATCGAAAATGGATTTAAGAACACATGAAACGCCCATTGTGATTTTATTTTCAGTCACAAACGGTAACTATAATAACTTTTTCAATGGTGCTCTTTTTCCGTTTCCCCATTCAGACGATCTGCTACAAAGTCTTGACCACTACGAAACCATAATACCTCAGCTCGTAGACCATCGAGGCAACTTCCTCAGCTATGACGTCACACATTCCAACGCACTACGTCATCAAAAAGTGCAGAACTCTCGATCTAAACGTTGGGCGAGGCGGCTACGGTTGAAACCGCACAAGAACAATAACCCGAACCTGTTTCTGGACGGATCCGATCAGCTCGGCAGGAACTCTGTTTTTTACAAATTGTCTGCTTATGGAAAAGAGTTCCGATTCAACCTAACTCTGAACACTCAACTGCTCACGAAAGACTTCGCTGTGGAATTATGGGATGGCTCGGGAAAAGTGGATACAAGCGAAGAAATCTGGGACTGCCACTACACGGGTACAAGCTTGGATAGCCCTGGTTTGGACGCTGCCATCAGCAATTGCAATGGTTTGGTAAGTTTTTATGTTTGATCGTAAGTTCGTTCATTGTGTTTCTTTGTTTGGTAAGTTTTTTATGTGTGTTTGTTTATTTTTATGTATAACACCGTACGGAACGCAAAGTGGGTCATTTTGAAAGTTGGACGACTTTATGCCCATTTGAAACTTTATGGTTACCTAAAGGAATTGCAATCTTATTTCTGAAAGAGCAAAAACCAGTTTCTAATGCGTCCTTATCTCTCCATTCCTGTGACTGAGTTTCTGATACCATCGTCTCTCCATGCCAGTGACTGTGGCTCAGTCAGTTTGGAACGTGATAAGACCGTGAGCTGTAGCGTTTATGTAGATCTAGCACAAATTGCCCAAGTTTGAAAGATCCGATGACACTGCAAGTCTAAAAGAGATTAATAATGTATGGTCAGATACCATAGCAGATCTTGATAATAAATTACGATGAAAGAAGAAAGAGGAATACATTTCGGTTTTAGTTTTTCTCATCCTTGCCCGAAGACAACTGCATCTCTGTCAAGGTGGGAAAGCAACGTCTGTGGTGTAATGTTTAGCCGCTTCGCCTTGCGTGCAAAAGACACGGGTTCTATTCCTAGGTAGGAAACATACTATTTTTTTAGGTATCCCAGCCTACCTGGTGGGATGGATGGTTGGTCGGTGCTCTGGTGTAGTTTGCTTTTTCTTTACTATCAAATATCGTTCGTCCTAATCTCCCCTCTTTGTGTATCTAGTCTTCGGCACGTATATTATGCGACCTAATTGTGCTGCAAGTTCCACTTAAAACTCTTACTAAACTAAATTGCCTGACTGGTAGGATTCTACACAGCCTGGATTGGTCCTGATGGGAAAAGCGAAGTAGCTAGTTTCCAAAAACGATTTAAAGCGAATTGGTGGGGCGCAAATCCGTCACTGGTACTCAAAAACCACAAAGACCCGTGCTTTAAACCCATCAACTGTCTATATAAAAGAAAAGTGGGAAGACATGGAATAATGAAAGATATTGATAATATCAAAAGGTTAGCTCAGGATAGGGGAAGGTGGAAAGTGTGTGTTCGTGGTCTGTAGCTTGGTGCAGGGTGAGAAAAGTATTGATGATGATGATGATGATGATGATGATGATGATGATGATGATGATGATGATG